AGAATTCTAAAACCCTAAGAAAAGAAATAGCAGAAGACATTAACAAATGGAAGAACACAGTGTGTTCATGGTTTGGAAGAATCAACATTGTTAAAATGTTGGTCTACCCAAAGCAATCTACAGATTTAATGCAATCCTCAATAAAATGCCAATATCATACTTTGAAGAACTTTAAAAAATAGTTCATTTTATGTGTAGTCAAAAAAACCCATACATCCAACACAATTATTAGTAATAAAAACATAGTGGGCAGCATCACTGCAAGACTTCAAGTTACATTACAAGTCATAGTAATCAAAATAGCATGTTATTGGCATGTAGAGATAGATATATGGAACAGAAGAGAAAATCTAGAGATGAAACCAGCCTCACACCACCATTTGCTCTCTGATAAACCAAACAAAAGCATATGCTGGGGCAAAGAATGCTTTTTTTGGAGACAGTTTTACTTTGTCACCCTCTGTAGGGTGCTGTAGTGTCATAGCTCACAGCAACCTCAAACTCGTGGGCCTAAGCGATTCTCTTGCCTCAGCCTCCCAAGTAGCTGGGACTACAGGAGCCTGCCACAATGCCCGGCTATTTTTTGTTGCATTTGTCATTGTTGTTTTCATTGGTCTGGGCTGGGTTTGAACCCTCCAACTTTGGTGTGTGTCTGGCGCTGTAACCACTGTGCTACAGGCACTGAGCTTGAAAAATAATTCTTATTGAGTAATTAGTATTGGGAGAATTGGATAACCACATGTTAAGGACAGAAACTAGACCCCACATCCTCTCACCACTTATAACAATTGAATCACTATGGATAAAAGAATCAAATCTTGGACACATGGATAAAAATTTTAGAAGAAACCAAAAACTCCTCTTCAGATTGCCCTAGGAAAGACTCCAGTGGCAACAAAAGTAAATGGGACTTAATTAAGCTAAAAAGGTTCTGCCCAGATTTGGACACAACAATGAAAGCACGTAGACAACCTTCAGAATGGGGAAAGAGATTTGCATATTATGACTCTGACAAAAGTTTGATAACTAGTGACAACAGAATACTCAAATTAATCAGCAAATAAAGCACAAACAATGCCATCAAAAAAAAACATTCAAATCATTGTGTTACAACCCCGCGTAAGACCCTCCAAAAGTTCTCACTTCTCCTAGAAAAATACTCAAACTCCTTCTTTTGGTCCATGTAATATGCTCTCCCCTCCCGTACCTCTTAACTGTCTCGCCTTGCTTACCAGACATGTCTGTCCCCACATCAGGACCTTTCCACTTGCTTTCCCATGAAAGGCTTGCTCTCTGCCTTCACGCCCCACTCCAAGTGTCACCTCTTTAGAGAGGCCTTCCCTGACCACTTTATCCAAATATCTTTACGTACTTATTTGTTGTATTGTCTCCCCTACGAAGTCCGTGAGGGGGATTGTCTGCTTGCTCTTCCCTGTAACACCTGCTTGTATTTAGCACAGTGTCTGGCATACCAAGTGTTCATGAATATTAATAATTAATCATTTGCTCAAAACCGAATCTGAAAATATTGCTCAGAGTCAGGACAGAAAACGGTAGGGTTTCAATGAGAAGTTGATAATCTGAGCATTAAACACCTTTGGTGAATTATTTTCATGCCAGGAGGTCAAAACAGACCTCTTACATATCAAAATGGTGTACACTGAAATATAACTATCAAAATTCATATACAAAATTGGAGGAAAATCAGGGAGAATGTTTAATTTAAATGAAAAATGGTGTGATTGGAAACCCACAGTGTCTCAGCAGACAGAAAGGCTTAAAGAAAAAAAGAAAAAGAAAAAGAAAAGAAAGGCTTAGTGATAAAGATCAAGCATTTTACCACGTACTGACTGCACGACCTTAAGAATATTACTTCACCTCCACAATGTCAGGTTGACAACAATATCTAACTCACAAGTTTATTATAAGAATTAAAAGAGATAATGTGTCTGGAAGTAGCCAATACTACCGTGGTTTCATAGTTAACACTTGGTAAAAACATAACATTTTAACTAGGGTCAAATGACACCAGAAGCAACCTCCTGGGAAGCTGAGTTTTCAAACACATTTAGGTAGTCACTCCGAGTTGTCTCCCAAATTCATTCTCCTCTTCATAAACAATAGAACTCTTAGTAAAGACTGCATTTTCCAGCCTCTTTTGCAGCTGGGTAGACTAAGTTCTGGCCAGTGGAATGTGAGGGGAGATAATGTATGGAACTTCCAAGTAGTGCACCCCGATGGAAGGGGTGTGCCTCCCTCCCCTCCTCTCTGCCCATCGGCTGGAATGCAGGCAGGGTGGTGAGCCATTCTGGACCACAGAGAGGAGAGAGGCTCCCTCAGAATGGCAGAGAAACAGTGCCGAAGGAGTCTGGCCTCCTAGCAGAGCTGTCTTACCGTCTTTGACTTTTTCCTTATTTTATTTATTTATTTTATTTTATTTTCTTTCTTTCTTTCTTTCTTTCTTTCTTTCTTTCTTTCTTTCTTTTTTTTTGAGA